GGCCTTTGTGTCCCTGAAGACCCCTCCTCTCACTGTGAGGGGCTTGCACCCCAGTTTTTCCAGGCCCATGTCCCTATCTCGGGGTGAGCAGCGGAGAGTGGCTGCCTGTGCCCGTATTTCTCCTCCTCCACTTTGAGGGAGGCGCTTGTTCTTCTACCAGCCCGCTTTCAAAGCCGTGTTTTCCTAATAATGTCGAGAGGAAACAAATGGCCGCTCCCCCCCCTCCAAAAAAAATCTTTTTTTCTTAAGAGCCTGGGTATAAATAAATATATAAATGGAGCCATACAAAGAAAAGGATAAAGAATAAAATCAAAGCTGTGAGCTCGGCGCTTGGCCTGAGGTATAAATAGCAGCAGGCTCTTAGGAGGCGCCCGGTGATGGCCGTGAGGGGGCGGGCAGGGGGCTTCTGAAGCTGGCTTTTTCCCTCTGAGACTGTAAGTCAAGAAAGGTGGCTCCCCTCCACCCCCAGATGGTTTTCTTTTAAGTTTTAATCAAGAAAAATTCGAGACCAGGTCTTATGTAGCCCAGGCTGGCCCTTCAACTCACTGTGCAGCTGAGAATGACCTTGAGCTGGTCCTTCTTAGCCTCCACTTCCCCCAGGCCAGGATTAAAGGTGTGCATTCCTGCATCTAACGTTTTTTGCTTTCTAAGCCTTACCTAGTCTTTGGAGAGGGAGGGAGGAGACAAGAGGCTTGCCTCAGTTACCCTGTCCTCTCTTTTCTCTCTTCCTCTCTCCTTTCCCTGACCTCCATCTCTCCTTCCCCGGCTTCCAACTCCATCCCTCTCTGGCTTCCATCTCCCTCCTTCCCTGGCTTCCTCCTCTTGGTCCTCAGCTGGTATTTCTGTACAACCAGCTCCCTACAAGCCCTGGAGATTCAGTGCAGCGAGAGGGCTCCTTGCCTGGAGGGCCATGTTGATACCCACTCTTCATGTCCGGCTGCTGGGCTGTGTGTGGACAGGGCGTTCAGCTCAGAACAATGAGGATGCTTGGGAAAACCAGGCCATAGGCTCCTAGGACTCCACCGAGGTACAGGAGCTCCATCACAGACCTACCCCAGGTCTGGAGCTGGGCGCAGCTAGCTCCCAGCCATTGGCATCTCACATCTTTGAAGTGTGTATCCTCCTGGCATCTGGAGCATAACTTTAAAAACCTCAGCATTCCTGGGATTCGCTGAAACCCAGTAGCCCGGTGGGCTGGTCGCTGGTGAAGCGGAAGACATAGGTTCTCCAAATCCGTCCTCGAAAAGACTGGTGGGTCCTCGAAGCTGCCCATTGGGTTAACACTGGAAACCGTCCAACGCCGAGTATGATACCTGGAAGATTCAGGCTGGGGCAATGGATCCCTCCACCCTTGGTATCTGTAGGCCCCCTGGGCTGGGCCTCCCTACCACCACTACCACCACTACCACCACCACCACCACCACCACCACCACCACATACTGTTCCTGAGTCTGACCTTCTTTCAAGACTGGTTCATTGGATGCCTCCTCCAGGAAGTCTCCCATGGTTCTCCCGATATGAAGGACCTGTCTGTCCCTCCTCCATGCTCTTCCATGGTAGTGGCTCTCCTCAGGTAGCCACCATCGGTCAGAGCTAACCCTCCAGCTTATAGCTATGTATGCAACCTGAGCCAGATGCTGAGTGTCCCAGACCTCTCCATCCCTCTAAACACCTCTGGGAGCAGGGACTGTTCCCACCTTTGTGCTACAGAGGGGAAACTGAGGCTTAGCGAGGTGCCGGGGGCCTGCCTGACCCCACACGTATGTGGCAGAGTGAGGTTTGAGCTTGGGCTTGGCAGGTTTGGCCAAGTTCACAGCACTCTTCCTGGGCTCGGAGTCTGTGTTTCCCCAAGGCCTTGAACAGGAAGGACCACCCTGGGGAGAGCATGCGGACCGCAGCCTGGCAGGCTCTGCGTGCGTGCATGCTTCTTCTTTATGAAGGTCACACAGTCCCTGGCCCTGCTTACTGTTGTTTTTGATGTGCAAGGGCGATGTGGAAATTTCTGTTTTATGTGACCTAGTTTCTGTGCTTTGATAATGGCATTCTCTTTGCTCCGCCCCCCTCCACCCCACCCCCACCCAACTCCGAGATTTTGGAATCAAGTTCACAATCCCAGTCTCTTCCCCAGGCCCTGGGCTTCATGCCCAGAGTCTAGGTAGGGGCCTGATGCACGTAGTGGCTCCACGGTCTTTGTTATTATTATTGTTTTACATTTCGTTTGTGTTTGTGTGTTCGTTCATGTTGCAGGTACACGTGGAGGCCCGTGGTCACCCTTCATGTTGTGCCTCAGGAGCCTCCGTCTTGCTCTTTCAGACGGGGTCTCTCCCTGGGACTGGGGCTGACGGATTAGGCTGGCTGGCCAGTAAGCTCCAGGGAGCCACCTGTCTCTGCCTCCCCAAGCACTGGGATTACAGGGGCCAGTGCTGGCTTTTTAATGTGAGTTTTGGAGATTGCTCATGGGCCTTCACGCTTTCTCAGTACTTTACCCACCGGGGTCTTTCTGAGAGGAACGGTGGCCCCTTGATATGAGTCTCCTAGGTGGCTCGCTGGAGTCTCCCTGGACGGCCTCATTCTCAACAGAAACTGTCTTCTTTTTTTTTTTTCTTTGCCTGTCACCCCAACCACTGCGTGTGGCCTTGGCATAAGGGACCCCCAGATGGGATTTGGGGAAACCTGGTCACTGGGCTGCCGTGGTGTTGAATTTCCCCGGAGAGTTTCTTCTCTTCCTATTTCTGACTCTTTCCATTTCACTATGAAGGGCAAATATTTGCTGGAATTCCGTCTGTTTTCTAAACTCGCCTGGCGTCCCAGGATGGATCTTTGTGTGTCTTTGGGGGGATGGGGGGGCAAAGGGAGTCCACACCCATTGGTGGTCACTGACTCATGAAAGTTTTTTATAGTTGCCTGTTTCCCTTACAGAGTCATGGTGAGGACTGGGGGATTAGGAATGATTAGTAGGGATGGAGGGATGGCTCAGTGGTTACGAGCCTTTCCATGCATGACTAAGTCCTATTTATGGATCCCCATGGGTGCGGCTATTATAATTTTCCTTCCTTTTTTGTTTTGTTTTGTTTTGTTTTGTTTTGAATCTATGAGCATCTGTACCAATTTCACCTTTTTGGCTGTTGTGAACAACATAGCCTTGAACATGGGTGTGCAAGTTTACGAGAGGGTCTCCTTTTTCACAAAAAGCTGGACATCAGCATCTTCGCTGATGCTAGAGCTGGTGTCTGTCCTTGTGAAGGTAGAGGATGGCTTGTCCCCAGAGCTGGATCCACAGCCCTGTCTCAAGAGCCTGTCGTGTGTCCTGCTCTAAGCTGGGGGCTTGCGTTCTTCAGCCTGCCTGGGGACCTCAGAAAACAAACAGGAAATGCCGTCTGAGGTAGCAGGGTCGGAGGGGTTAACAAGACTGACTTGGGGTCTCCCAGTCAGTAGAGTTGGGATCACTAGTGTCATACATGGTGTTACCCCATCCATCACCTGCTGTTGTGGGTGCCAGGTGACCAACATGTCAAAGCTTTGAGGTGGTGACAGTATTCCAGGCCAAGCTGAGAGGGCGTATCACTCTCTGAGGCGGAAGGATAGAGTGGTGGGACACCTGCCGCTGGAGATCCCCTCAGAGAAGATGTGTGATCCGTCAGTGATCAGTACTTCCCACTCAAGCCTGTAAAAAGCTACAGGTCTAGGCCCGGACCTGTCTCTGTCACCTCTGGATCTTGGGGCTAGAGTCTGGACTCTGAGGTCCAGGGGTATGGAAGCCACCATTTCTGGTTCCAGGGCTCCAGACATGGTAGAGCTTTCTGTAGACAGGAAGAAGCCAAGCCTTGCATCTGTAAAAGCTGTCCTCCTAAGCCCCACTCTCCGTGGCTGTGACCAAGGGCCATCAGGGTCTCTGGGGGAGATGAAGGATCCTGTGTGGTGTCACAGGACCGGGGCACACACTGTCTGAACCTCGCCACTATCCCCCACCCCCAGCCGACATGCATACAGGCTTATGCATAGCTTGCAGTCTCTGGGCCCACACACGGCCAGCGTGGAAGCTCGCTCACTCGTCTCCTTAGAGTTCGTTATTTTTCCTACTGGCCTTGATCCCGATGCCGTTACATTCTATAGAGATTTAAGATCTTAGGAGGAAGCATGGCCCTCCGGGGGCCAGGAGAGACGGTAATAGAGATTTAGTGACTTACCACCTAGAGAATTAGTGGAGCATGTGGGGAGAAAGAGGACTGTGGGCCATGCCTTGCTGGGTTTGGGACATCATCCAAGCAGATTTCCCTGCAGGCCCGAGGACCAGCAAGTGAGGGCTGGTTGTCATGACTCTCTGCTTGGTCCACGTGGGAAGTGAGGTGAGAGGGGACATCCAGGCTGGCTGCGTGCGAATGCCCTCTTGGAGGTTAACTGATCCCAGGGCAGAGATCTGGAAGGGTTGTGCCCAGCAGGGAGGAGGTATATGTCCAGGCTGAGCTGGCTTCTGGTCTGAGATTCTAGCCTGTTTAAAAATAGATACAAGGACAGCACAAAATGTAAGAGTTCACTACACCTCCGTCAGACTTCCGTCCCAAAGGATGTGGCACACTTTAAATTCTGATCACCCGTGTGTGCAAGCAGTCCTGTTCACACCTCGAGTCTACAACCCCAGACACAGCTCTGCCAGAGACAGAAGGCCGCTCCATCTACGTTCTCTGCCCTTGCTGGGGGTCTAAGCTTTGTCTCCCAAAGCAGCTTCAGGCAGGTCTGGAAGCCATTAGAAGCAACCAGAAGCTTCCATGTCTCAGTCACATATTCCAAAGACCAGCGTGGACAGACTGGTCAGGCTTGGAAGGAATTAAGAACTGCTTGATGCAAAGCAAAATGGCATGTGTTCTGGGCTGGGAGCACTTCCCCTTGGCTTCCCTGGACCAGCCACCATGAAGGGATGTGCATGTAAGCGACATGTTGGAAACATGGGACTTTCCTCTTGGGCTTTCTGCATACTGACTGGGTCTCTCTTTACTCAACAGTGACTGACTTGCAAGAAGAAGGCAAGAGTGCCATCAATTCTCCAATGGCCCCGGCTTTGGTGGACATCCACCCTGAAGACACCCAGCTAGGTACTGTGGCCGCTTGACATCCTTTGCTGTCCATCCCTGGGGTAGGGACCCTCTATGGGTGGGTGGTGTTTGAGAATCTGCGTCTTATTCAGAGAGATCTCTGGGGAGAAGCAGGTTTCTGCTCCTGTCTTCCGGTGCAGGTTTCATTGGCATCCAGGTATAGATGAGTGGCATTGGGAACATGGCTTGTTAGGGTCACAGTTCCAGGAGATGGCCAAGCAGAGCTGGGAAAGCAATGGAGGAGAGAGAGGAGGAGTTGACTTGTTTACCGAGTAGAGGACTGGATGGTGTAAGCTCCAGGAACAAGGTACTGACTCGAGTTAGCTGGCAGCTGGCCTAGGGGATGAGAGAAGATGAGGCAGAGAGTGTTGGCTCAGGGTATGGAACTCCATAAATCCCTAGAGGAGGAGGCTAGAGGACAGCCATCCCGGGAGGAAAGTCTCCCTGGGAAGAGCAGACCCCAAGGTCTCAAAACATGAAGATATTTAGAAACTAGGCACACATCCCAGACACCCCATATATCTCAACGGCTGCCCTGAAGAACTGTGCTGGTCCTGCAGCTGGCTGTGTGGGAACTGTGGATGGGGAGGCCCCTGACTCCTGGCAGGTTGATGACAGGGTGGCAGTCAAAGTGGCCTTTCCTGGCCTCGTGTTTTGGCAGCAAGTCACTGTGGAAGGCAGGTATGGGACACTGTGTATTTCCAAACCCTGGTTCAGACAGAGATCCCTGTCTACCCAGATTTTCCATGACAAGGCCATCAGGCTCGCAGGAAGGAAGCAGGGAAGGCCCAACCTGTGGCCCAGAGGTGGCCTGGTACCCGAGACCACTGGTCTGTGACATTCTCTCCCCGCCAGAAGGACATGCTTATCACTGCATGGTTGCAGCAGCTGCATCTGGGCTGGTCTCTGCCTGGGAAACGGGACTTCCCCCCCCACATCCCCGCTGTGGTCAGTGGGCCCACAGCACCCTGGCATCTGTGGGACCTGGTCCTTTCTGTTCTGGCCCCTGTGTCTTCATCCCTGCCCCACCTTCCTGTCCCGCTCCCCTGATGAACTCCACTGGTCTCTTGCTGTCTGTCAGATCCAGGCTAGAACACAGAGGGAAAACCTAACAGGAGAGATGGGTAAAATGTCATCCCTTTGCATGGTTTTGCTATTTCTAATACTTCCCTGTATTGTATGTGATGCCTCTGCCCTGGTCCATTCCAACATCCCAAACCGCGAGGTAGCGAGGAAAGAGCTGCATGCGTGCATCCCAGGTCTTAAGGGGCCCCCAGCGGCCATGCCCCAGGGACAGGTACCTCAAGGTCATAGGCAGGTGTAACAGTTACCTGCCGCCTCACCAGGGGCAGTGTTTCAGGGCATGGCTCAACCAGTCACCCGCTACACAGTGATCCAGGAACTACTGGTGTTCCCAGCTCTCTCCAACCCTCTGGTTCTGGCAGGGCACTTCCCAGCCCACGGCAGGGCTACCCACTGTCTTTTCTCTCCCCATGCCAGCATGGTTTAGACTCATTAGAGTCTTTGGAGTCTAAGGCTGGGGAGATAAGAGACTAGCTTCATCTCCTCCTGCTTCCCTGCAGGATTTATTTCTGATCTTGGTGTGTAGCCGACAAGGCAGGAGACCTGTTCTCACTGAGACCATGGTGGGTCTCTGCTTTTCCACCTGCTTCCTGCCCCATGTGAGTAAGCAGGGAGTCCTCTATCCCCTGACATCCCTCTCAACCCTCCACCCCACCTCCCCGATTCACTCTGGCCCTTTCTGTCTTTGGCAGAGGAGAATGAGGAGCGTACCATGATCGATCCCACCTCCAGAGAGGACCCCAAGTTCAAGGAGCTGGTCAAGGTGAGGTACAGTCTGATGTCATTGGAGCATCCCTGTTGGCTCCAGGCCTTCTTTCGGAGCCTCAGGGCTTCTGTAGACACAAGGAGGAGTTGAGCCTCCAGGTTCCTGAGAGGGCCAATGAGGCTACAATAGAAAGAGGTACAGAGCTGAGCTTGTGGGAGCTCATGGACTGTAGACTGACAGCTAGGGAGCCTGCGTGGGACCGACCTAGGCCCTCTGCGTGTGGGTGACAGTTGTGTACTTGATCTGTTTGTGGAGCTCCTAGCAGGGGGACCAGGATCTGTCCCTGGTGCCTGAGCTGGCTCTTTGGAACCTATTCCCTATGGTGGGATGCCTCACTCAGCCTTGACGCAGGGGGAGGAGCTTGTTACTGCCTCAGCTTTATATGCCATGTGTTGTTGCCTCGCATGGGGTCAACTTTCTGAGGAGTGGATGGGGACCGGTAGAAAGGAGGTGGGAGGAAGGAACAGAAGAAGAGGAGGGAGGGGGAACTGTGGTTGGTATGTAAGATAAATAAAATAATGAATAAAAAAAATAAAAGAAAGGGGCATAGAGGAGTGAAGTGTGAGCTGAAGAATGAGATGGAACATGGGTCCTCTAGGTGCTCCCATGTGCTAGGGCAGCCCTATGCCTTTATGGGGCTGTCACACGGTACTCACAGGAGCTGTACAGGGTCTGTTTGTAATCAATACACCCTGCAGACAGGCCCAGTTGTTATAGCTTCATGGGGTCTGGATTCAAGCTGTTTTGGGGAGCAAGTTGCTGTCTTCCCCCACCCTGGCCTCATCTGAAGAGGGGCCTTGGTGTCCTAAAATGTCAACTTGACACAGCCTAGAGTCACCTGAAAAGGGAGTCTCCATTGAGGCCTTGCCCAGATCAGACTTGGCCTGTGGCCATGTCTGTGAGAGATGGTCTTGACTGCTAATTGATATAGGTGGGCACAGCCCACTGTGGGTGGCACCATTCCCTTGGCAGGCAGTCCTAGGTTATATAAGAAAGCTAGCTAAGCATGAATCTGTGAATAAACCAGCAAGTAGTGTTCCTCCAGGGTTTCTGCTTCAAGCTCCTGCGTGAATGTCTGCCCCGATGTCCCTCAGTGGTGGACAGACCTGGAAGTATAAGCCAATAAACCCTTGACTTCCCTCAGCTGCGTTGGTTGGAAATGTTTTAACATGGCGATAGAATGAAACCAGAGCGCTCGGGGAGCATGTGACTGTCAGCTGGGTGGGAAAGCAGAGGCTTTGCTCCCAAAGGTCACAGAAACAGGTGGGTAGGACTGTGGCTCAGTGGCTCCCAGAAACACCTGCCTGCCCTTACATGTCACATGTCTGATCCTGTCCAGGGGCAGCCTGAGACATTGATTGCCCAGATCTAAGCCACAGTAGGACTCCTGGAGGCCACCCACCTGAGACAGGCAGGCAGATAGGGTCAAACCTCAGAGACCCAGACTTGGTTGGGGTGACCTAGGCGTGTTGAAATACTGCACATGGCGGTATCCTTGAGTTTTCACAAGGGTCCATTCAGGGGAATCAGGGCTGCTTGCCAGCTGTGCCATCTAGAAATATGAACTGGAAATGTCTGTTATGGCTACCCAAAGAGGGTGATTTTTTTTTTTTTTCGAGGCAGGGTTCCCTGTGCAACCCTGGCTGTCCTGGAACTCACTCTGTAAATTAGGCTGTCCTTGAACTCAGAGATCCACCCGCCTCTGCCTCCTAGGTGGTGGGATTAAAGGTATGAGCCACCATTGCCTGGCTGAGGGTGATTCGTTTTCCTTTTTTTTTTTTTTTTTTTTTTTTTTTTTTAGACAGTGTCTCACTATGCAGGGGAGAAGGAGTTTATCTAATTTGCAGTTCTGGGTTACAGTCCAACACTGTGAGCATGTCAAGGTGGCAGGGACTTGAAGCAGCTAGTCACATCCACAGTAAGAGCAGAGAGAATGAATGTGTGCATGCTTACTTGCTTGCCTATTATCCTCAGCCTCTTCCATTCTTATTCTTTTGGAGACCCCATAGGTCTAGGGGTTGGTGCCATCCACAGTGGGCTTAGTTCTCTCACATCAATTAGCTTAATTAAGACAGTCCCCCATAGGCCAACCCAATGTAGACACAGCTTAATTAAGACAGTCCCCCACAGGCCAACCCAATGTAGACACTCCTCAGTTGAGTCTAGATTGTGTCAAGTTGACAATTAAGATCAACCATCTCTCTGGGCAGTGATGGTGCACACCTTTAATCCCAGCACTCGGGAGGCCAAAGTACATAGATCTCTGAGTTTGAGGACAGCCTGGTCTACACAGTGAGTTCCAGGACAGCCAGTTCCAAACTTAAAACCTATCTGGTGTGTTGGCCTGAGCAGGTTAGAGGACAGCTTGGTCTGGCTGACATCCTGGGAGAATTTCTGTCTCGGAAAACAGAATAAAACAAACCCCAAACCAACCAACCAATCAACCAAACAAAAACAACAACAAACCAAATGAACGAAAGACTACCCATTGCATCTGGGCTGGGTGGCCAAGGCTGCAGATGGAGGTGTCAGGAAGAGGGAAGCCTGGCTCCAGCTGCTGGATTGGAGGAAGGACAAAAGCTGGGTGCTGAGGTCTGTGGGAGCCTCTAGAAACTGGAGAAGCCAGGGAAGCAAGGTCCTAAGAGCCTCCAGAAGGGTTAGCTCTCCTCTCCTAACACTTGACCTCAGCTTGGCAACAGCGGTTCTGGGCTTCTTGCCTCCAGTGTGTGAGAGGATCCATGGGAAACCACCAGAGTCGTGGAAGTCCCCTAGAGCAGCCATAGGAAGCCAATCTTCACTGGAGCTGACCATCCACATCAGTCAGACAGGGTGGCCCTACACCTACCACAGTGGCTGAGTCCTTGAGACGACCTGTTCCCATAGCCATCCCATTGGCCTTCAGCTACACATATGGAGACTAGACTTCAGACCCAGCCTGAGATCTCATCTCCCAGCAGGCTGGTCTTCACCTAGTACTTTCAAAACCTACTGTGAACACCAGGCACAGGGGAGCAGTTCTGGGGTTTGTGTGTGTGTCGGGGGATCATCAGCTATTGTGTGGCTGTGTGATGAGGCGTACAGTGTGTCAAACTACTTGGCAAGGCCGGGCTCTGAGACAGGCAAGTGTGGGAGGTATGTGCAGTGGTTCTGATGGACTTGTCCTGTTGATCAGGGTTCCCGAGCCGGGAGAAAAGCCGTGGTCTGGCTGGAGCTTGCTCGTGTTGGAGGACTGTGGACGTTTCCTTTTTCTGTCCTGGCTGCCCTGGCTGGCCCAGATGACACACTTGTGCTATGAGTGTGGGATGAACAGCCTCCCAGCTGCTGCTAGGACTGGACTTGGTGCCTGGCTCCTTCCCAGGGTCACCGCAGAGCTAGGCACCTCGGGTCTGCTCTGTTCAGACCCTTCACTATCATTCCATGCCTCCTCCCTCTGTCTCTGCTCCACATATTCTTGGCTTTGTTACTGCTGTGCTGAGCAGGGACCCTCTGAGTGTATGTTTAGAGGAGACTGTTTCCTCCAGGACACACTGGCAATCTCAGGGGTCCCAGCATACCTTAGACTTGATAATTCACCAGAAGAACCCCAGAACCCACTGGAACAGTGGTTATCAACCTGTGGGTCGTGACCCCTTTGGGGGTTGAACAACTTTTTTTTTTAAACCAGGATCTCTTATCAGATATCCTGCATATCAGATATTTACATTATGATTTGTAACAGTAGCAAAATTACAGTTATGAAATAGCAGAAATAATTTTATGGTTGAAGGCCGCCACAACACGAGGAACTGTATTAAAGGGTCGCAGCATTAGGAAGGTTGGGAACCTTCCACTGCACTGGAAGCTGTTGTCCTTAAGGTCACCGTTGGAGACAGGCACAGTCAGCTGGGGGAGGCACACTTGGGATCAGGATCTAGGGAATGGGCTGTGGGAGAAGGGGCAGAGGCTGGGAGCTCGTGATTGTACCTCTATGCAGATGGTTCCAGAACCTCAGTGTCCAGGGTCACTGTGTGAGTCTCCTTGTTTCAGAATGTTGTCTATGCTGCAGACCAGTGACCCAGCTTCTGGTGGGTCGGAAATAGGCTGTCCAGAAATAGGTTTTGTGTTTTGTTTGTTTTTTCCCCTAGAACTGGGGAGGGCACCCAGGACCTTGCTCCGTGACTGAACCATACCCCTGCCTCCCCAGATGCGTTTTTTTTTTTTTTTTTTAAATCTTAAAACCTTTCTGGTATGTTGGCTTGAGCAGGTTAGAGGACGGCTCGGTCTGGCTCACATCCTGTCCTTCTGTCCTTCTGGACATGGTCATTGTGGCCATCTGTCCTTCACAGCCTCTCCCAGTCTTTGGGACCATGGCTGAGTTTCTGAGGATGCCTGGCTGGCCGTGTTTTTTCCTCTCTGCTCTCTGTCCTCTACGTTTTCCCTCTGTTGTCTTGGTGGCCTTCTCTGTCCCCTACTATTTTGTGATTGTCATCTTTGCCATGTTGTGAGCTGCCCTCTGCCTTCATCTGAAGTCCCTGGCTCTGGCTGGGCAGACATTGGAATGAGGTTGATCATTAAAAAACTATTTTGAGCATCTGCTGTGCTTATGGGGCCATTAAGGGGCGAAGGTCCAATCCCAACTCGGGAAAATGCAGTACCTCAACCCATGGCCATTCATTATCTGATGATGGGCATGGAAAGGGATCAGGTCTGGTGGGGAGGGTGCATTGGCCAGCCAGGCACCACCTTAGACATGGACCTGCATTTTGTGGGCCCAGGAGCCTCAAAGATTCACCCTAATGTCCTCTTCTAGCATTTTTTCCTGTGGCCATTTCTTCTGGTGTCTGCTGGAATCAACCTGAATTCCTTATAGGTGGCCAGTGTGTTGGAGGCTTATGGCTGAGATACTTCATGTCATTAACTGTTCTGTTAGGAAGCATCCTGTGCTTTTCTTTTAGGGGAGATGCCTCTGTGCTCAGTGTCTCCATTTGGTCCTTGTCCCCGGGGCCTGGCCCAGAACTCTGAAACCCTCAGAGTTGCCTGGGTAAGAGATCTCAACAGCACACACTCTTGGTCACACCTGGGTCACTGCTAATGATTTGGTGAATCCCCAGTTTGCTTCCAGTGGAGGATGATCCTAAGGGAACCCAAACATGGGTGGTGAAGGGGTTGGCACTGTTGATCTCTGGGAGGGAAGGGGCCTGGAGGGTGGTTCTTTTTACTGATGGCCAATGACTGAGCTCATAACCTGGGGTTCCGGACTCTGGGCAGTGAGTGTCATAAGCATGTTGACTACAGAGGCATATGAGGTTAGAGAATTGGTGTTGGAATGATGCATTTTAGAGTTGGGAAGAGAAACCCAATAAACCCACACAGCCCTTCCTAAACAGGCTAGCCAGAGCAGCTAGGCACCTCATGCTGGGTTGCATCTTCCTCCAAGAGCAGATTTCATATCTCATCATTCAGTTGCTGGGCAAGGCTTACCCTTGTCATGAAGCTGGTTTTTTTCCTCTTGCGCCTGGGTTGTCTGGAAGTGCTCTGCCAGGCTCAGCCCCCACTGACTCCGCCCAATTCAGTAAGGTGCATCTCCATCCCCAGGGGACAACACAGCCAGGACTCTGTTTGGAAATGATTAAAATGTAACTGTCAGGGCTCTGGGGGAGACAGACTGCAGACCTGATTATAATTCAGAAGGAACTAAGGGGAAAGTAATTTTTTATTCTGGTTAGAGCGAGCTCATAGAGCTAGCCGTGATCGAGTGCCGTGTAAGGATGTAATTAATATATGTCCTCCTTATTCACCCGCAGGACTTGGGGCTCGCAGATGAACGAGTCCCTAAAAATAATGGCTGATGCTATCTTTAAAAGCTCTTTTGTGGAACAGAAGATAAGAAGGATGACCGGGAGCAGAATGATGGGGTGACAGGCGATGTCTCCAAGTCAAGTGCTCCTCCTGGGGGGGGTGGCAGTGAGACAGGGGAGGATGCTTGCCTCCTGGACCCGAGAGCCTGGCCCGTCATGTAGAGTTCATTTTTAGCTTTTTGTTCCCGCCTTTGGGCTCCGAGTAGGCCAGAGATCTAGATGTGGGGTTTTGGTTTGTTTTGTTGTTTTCTTCTTTAAGTTTTTGATTCTCAGAGAAGAAACATTCTCTGGAGATTTCCTGGCAGGATTGTGTTTGAGAAAGGAAGCCTCTGGAAGGGCCTGTAGGGTAGAGAGTCCTTTCTAGATGTGAATTCCCCGAGGCAGTTTTCCGGTTTGTTTGAGACCTCAAACTGGGATCTTAGCCACTGGGGATAAGTACTGAGCAAAACAGCTCACTCGCCAAGCTCACAGTGTACCTGTGAAAGAGAAAGCATGGAGAGGGCCGAGTGAATATGCCATCAGGTGGCAGGGGGTGCCTGGAAGCCTCATACCCACTTTCTGCTGCTCCCTGCAGGGCAGTCTGGGAGGTGGCATTTAAGCAGACCTCTGCATCAGTACCTAGGAGAAGGTCATGGTCAACTGCCCAACAGCAGAGGTCCTGTGGTATGCAGGTGCTTGGCATGTCCTAGCAACCATTGAGATGGGCAGGGTGACAGGAGCCTAGCGAGCATGCAGGGGAGTGACCAGAGACAGAGTCAACAGTGATAGAGGTATGGGGATGGTGGCCGGTAGCGAACGGCCATGTTGGCTCATGTTGGCTCTCAGGGTGGAGGAGTCAACTTTTCCTGAATGCTGTGGCAGACAGGGGGCAGGGCTGGCTCCGTGTCCACCCTGTGTGCCTTCCATGCCCTCACTGTCCCCAGCATAACACCATGACAGGTCACTGCCCTTGTGGGCAGGGACTGCACTGCATCTCTCTTCATCCTCACGGCCCAGGGTAGAACCTGCTGCCGACACTCACTCGTGTTCTTATCTTATCATCAGGGGAGACCCCGCAAAGGAAGGCCCAGCAGCTGTGGCCTTTGCAGCCAGAGGTGGGACAGCGGGACAGCAGGACAGCAAAGCACAAGCTCCCCTTCCCTTTTTGATGACGGGCAGAGAACATCCACCCTTATCCGTTGTCTTGGGGTTTCTGTTGCTCTGACCAAAAGCAAAGGAAAGACACCTAAACCTTGTAATCATCATCCAGATAAGCCAGGGCAGGAACCTGGAGGCAGGAACTGAGGCAGAGGCCGTGGGGGAGCGCTGTTCACAGGCTTGCTCAGCCTGCTTTCTTATTACACCCAGGACCACCTGCCCAGGAGCGGCACAGCCCAAATCGGGCCCTTCCACATCAATCATTAATCAAGAAAATGTACCATAGGCTTGCCTACTGGCCACTCTGGTGGAGGCCTTTTCTCAGCTGAGGTTCCCCTTCCCAGGTGACTCTGGCTGTGTCCACTTGACACCAGACCAGCCAGCACAACAGTCATGGCGACCTCAGCACACTGTCGTGTTTTCATCCCTTATGAAGTGGAGACTGTGCCGTTTTGCTTGTTTGTTTTGTTTTGTTTTTTTGTTTTTGTTTTTTGTTTTGTTTTGTTTTGTTTTGTTTTTTGCATGGAGGAAATCCTTGCTGTGGTTTGCAGCCCCCAGTGTGAGAACACACCTCAGACCCTTGGGCAGAGGACAAGCAGGCATCTAGGACCCGCCCCTTGCAACCTGTTTCCTCCAGTCAGGCCCTGCCCAGAGACGGACAGCCCAATGGTCAGAGAACACAGACCAGACTGGAGCCCAGTCAACCAGAGAGCTGGAGAGGGCGCCCACTCTCCCCCTGCCCCTCGGAAGACGCTTTGACACATCCACAGAGCTCCAAGGCTGTGTGGCCCTTCACCCTAGCCACATGTGACTCATAAGCTCTGAGATCCCTGTGAATCTGGTTTAGTCTCCTGCGGTCGCTTGGAAGCTGGTCAGGACCTGAGGGGACTTGGCTTTGTTGCCAATTTCTCGGTCACTGCTTTCTTAGAGAACGACAAGACACTGTGCATTCAGATTTGTGCATTTGATCCTTCTGAGAGTGGCCGCAGACCTCTACCTCCCAGAGGCTCAGGGGTCCAATTAGATAGCTTAATCTATTTTGCTGGCATGGGAAAGTCACAGTCTGAGGGTCACGGCTGCAGCCTGGGCAGGTTTCTGTTTTATTCTGGGTGGGAGGGTGAGCAAGCATTGTCCTTGGGAAGCCCTCTGTCCCAGAGACGATGAACAGTGCAGGGGGCGTGCTTCGGCAGCGTGCCCTCCCAATGTGTTGAGTGGAAAACCCTATTAAGAAAAGCCTTCTGGGGCTGGAGAGATGGCTCAGAGGTTAAGAGCACTGACTGCTCTTCCAGAGGTCCTGAGTTCAATTCCCAGCAACCACATGGTGGCTCACAACCATCTGTAATGAGATCTGGCGCCCTCTTCTGGCCTGCAGGCAAAACATGCTGTATACATAATAAATAAATCTTTAAAAAAAAAAAAAAAAAAAAAAAAAAAAAAAAAAAAAGAAAAGCCTTCTGGGGAAGGTGGGTCTGGAAAAATAGAAGCGAAGAACTTGACCATGAGTGTTCCCAGCGGCTTGACGGACAGAAAGTGACACTGCTCAGCTGTCCAGCAATGGAGGGAGACAGAGAAGATGTACATAGCTCTGTGTCATGCGGTGGTAAGGTGTTCAGCCGGAAGTGGGGGAGAGGTAGGAGCTATGACAGGGATGGGCTTCAAACACCATGTTGAGAGAAGCCAGGTGTGAGGGAGGAGTTTGCATACTGTGGAATCCCATTGATGGGACTCAGGATCGGGAGATGGACAGGGGCAGAGCTGCAGGGAGAAGGTCTGGTTTCTGTTCGGGTACAAGATAATATTCTAACATGGTTGGGGTGACCCTTACAAGTTTGGTGAATCCTGGAAGGGTATGCAGGTGGATTCTCCATTGGCCGAACAGTCGGCAGAGTTCAGGGAACAGCAGAGCCAGGCTGGTACCTCTTGCATTAGCCTGGGACTCAGGGCTGCTGAAGTGCAATCTAGGAGGGGGGTTCATGCGTCATGGCCCCCTTCCCCCTCTCTTCCCAGCACTTATTCATTTCGTACCCAGTGCCCAAGTGGAGCCGTAAGCGCTTCCGTTGGGAGATATGTGTCACCCATTACCCACGGTCGGTGCAGGATCTCAGCTTGCCTGGTCCTGCCTGGGCTCTGTTGGGGACTGTTAGGAAGTCCTAGCTCCATGCATGGGTCTGGCTCTCCACTCGTGCTCTGGCCATGGACCAAGAGATACCTGTTGTCCTCCATGGTTACCAGGCAGGTGTCTGGTAGCCCTTGCGTCTTTGGGCGGCTGCCCGTCTGAGCCGGCTCTGACCCTGCTTTCTCCGACAACTCTGACCTGCTTCTCCCCTCCCCCAGGTGCTCCTGGACTGGATCAACGATGTGCTGGCAGAGGAGCGCATCATCGTGAAGCAGCTGGAGGAAGACCTCTATGATGGCCAGGTGCTACAGAAGCTTCTGGGTGAGTGCCGGGACCCTACCATGTGGCACCATCCTCCTTGCCCTGGGCTTTTGGGAACTGACCCAAAGCTTGGTTTATGCCTCCTGGTAGCCCTAGCTGTGTTTGCTGTCTGTCTGCATGGTTTCTCCGCTGGGTACGCGTGGTTTCTCACGGGGCTGCAGCAGCTTTTATTGGATGCTCACGCCATGGACCAAGGAAACAGGGTTCAGAGAGGAGCCATGTCCCTCATCTCATCTCTCTGGCCAGCCTGGTTCCATCCAGTGTTGAGCACTTTTAGGATGGGATGCGGCAGAGGGCAGGTCTCCAACAAACCCCATGTGAGGGAATTTATCATTGTCCTCACTCATACTTCCAGGCTTTACTGTCTCCAAGTTCTGGCTGAGGATGATTGAGTGTGTCCTCAAGATAGACTGATGGAAGGAAAGATGGACAGGTGGGCAGCCTCTCCATCAAATGTCCCTGAGCCTTGCTGAAGGCTGGGTTCTAGGTCAGTGACTGCTGAAGCAGACATCCCTCTACCCTGCCGTTCCGGAGGGTGTGGTCTGTCTGAGCAGACAGTGACAGATGCCATGGGTCTAGAGAGTATAAAGGTCATACAGTTGTCATATCATATGGCCAGAGTGGGTGACCTTACCAAGTGCTAGGGTCTGAGCTCCTGGGGAAAAATAAGGGAAGAGTGGCCAGGAGACTAGAGAAGGATGAAGTCAGGGGTGAGGCATGGTAGGTAGTGCCACGGGATTCATGACGCCTCAGGCTGGTGCGGTGATTCATGCCTGTCATCCTAGCACTTGGGAGGCTGAGGCAGGAGGATTGCTAGTTTAAGGCTAGCCTAAATTATATAATAAAAGCTTGTCTCAAATAGAAAAAAAAATGTGTATGATGAAGCCTTGGGACCAGCTCTTACCTGGGGCTATTGTTCCCGGGGATGTTGTGAGCGCATCTTGGGGGCTGTGCTGTTACCTCCGGGGGAGTCTTGGTGGTTGTGGGATGTGGTGAGGTATTGTCTCTCAGGCTTGCACAGGACTCTTCTCCCTCAGCTGTGTGTCAGGTGGCTTGGGCATAGGTCCTGATCTTACAAATCTTTTCTTACCACAGCAAATTCTCCCAGCAGCCCAAGGACAGGCCCGGTAACCCAGTGTCTCCAAATGCCTTTTCATCCAGGGCATTTGTGCTATCCCCTATTCTTTCCTGACTTCTCCCAACCCCTGCCCCACCTTTTACTCTTCTGTCTCTTATGACATCTTTGAAGGGTTTGGACATCTTGTCCTATAGAAGATGGACCGATATAGATTCATCTGATCACTCTTTTCTTTTTCTTTATTTATTTTGATTCTGTGTGTGTGTGTGTGTGTGTGTGTGTGTGTGTGTGTGTGTGTGTGTACCACTTGCTTGCAGTACCTGTGGAGGTCAGAAGAGGACACCAAATCCCTGGAACTGGAGTTTATAGATGGCTGTGAGCTGCCATATGGGTGCTGGGAATTAAAGCCAGGTCTTCTAGAAGAGCAGCCAGTGCTCTTCAGCACTGAGTCTTTACTCCAGTCTGGATTATTCTTTCCTTAGCGTTACAAAGTAACACTTTTAGTGAATCAGAGCCCATGGCTTCACATTGCTGGAGGTGCACAGTGCCAGGCTACTGATAATGATGGGGAAGGTCTGATCCTTAGCCAAGGTGATGGCCAGTGAAGGAGGGAATGGTGAGATTATGGGGTGCTGAGTGGCTGGGTGGCCATGGTGGTCTCTCTGCGGAGCTCACAGCTCAGCAGAGTTCTAGATCCAGCCTCAGAGGTGGAGGCTCTGTGGCCAGGCGGAGCCTGTTGTGAAGCAGGGAAGGAGGTGGGAATCTGGGGTGAGGCTGGGAAGACAGACAAGGCCAGCCCTGGTAGACAAGGGCTTTCATCCCATGTCACAAGAGCCACTGGGAGTTTCAAACAGGGCCACGCTGTGATCTGAGTTGGCTTTTACAAAGTTTACTCAGGCTTCTGGGTGCAGAGTGGGTGGGGAGGAAGGTCTGGAGTTGGAGCTGGGTGTGGCTCAGGATGCCCTGAAATGGCTTCTGAAATGACTCTGGCCAGGGTTTGGAGTGCAGATGTGGACAGATGTTTCAGAGTAAAGCTGCCACAGGAGCGGAGGGTGGAGACCAGAGGTATGGACTGAGCAACTGGTGAATGGGTGAAGAGCTGGGGGCCTCATGGGCGAGGTTTTGGGGTGTCTACCTGTCTGGAACCTCATGCTGGGACCAGAGTTAGGAGCTCCAGCTACAGAGTTAGATGGAATGCAACCACTCGGAGGCGGTGTTTAGCACCATGGGCCTAACCATTTCCCGGAGAGGGGCTGCAAAGTCCTCATTGGTCCAAATACCAAATGGACAAGAGTGAACCATGGACGTTTGATTAAGAACCCCCGTCTTAGAATAAAGTTCTGCAGCTCAGAAATGAAGCTGGAGAGTTGAGATCCTTGAGTAAGGGCACATGTCACTAAGCCGATGGCCTTTGCTTCCTGAGACCTACGTGGCGGAAGGAGAGAACTGACCCCCAAAGCTGTCCTTCGGCTTCCGCACACATACTGCGGCCTGCATGCCTACAGACTCCCCCACAATCAATCAGTTAATTAATAATTTTGTTTAAAGAAGACGCTGGACTGTGAGGGTGGTTTCATAAGTGCCCGGGTTTTATGGTGGACACCTCAGCGCTCCGGCAGTGCGCTGTAGTGTCTCCCTACAGGCCCTGGCCTGCTGGAAAGAGTGGCACACTCCTGCACAGCTCTGTCTGCGACTAGCTAGCTGCTTGCCATGTCTACAAACGGGGCATCCGAGTTTCAGACAGTCAGCTGAGGCCAAGGGAGCACGCTGAGCTATGAATGATGTGTCACGAGGTCCCAGTAGATGGTGAGGCTACCTTGGGTGGTCAGCCTGCCTCCTCTCCTGGGGTTTGAGTATGTTATCGACTTAACTTCTCTCTGACTCTTGGACTTGGTGATTAGGCTGGCAAGGGCCATGCTTGTATGTGTGTATGTATGTGTGTTTGCATGTGTGTGTACACAGGTGCTCATGCACATGTATGTATGTGTGAGTGGAGGCCAGAGGTCAATGTCAGATGTCTTCCTCAGTTCTCTCCACCTTATTTCTTGAGACATGGTCTCTCACTGAATTGGGAGTTCACCAATTTGGCAAGATTAACTGGCCAGTGAACTCTTGGGATCCTTCCGACTCCACCTCTCCACCCACCCCCATCTGTGCTGGGGTTATCGGTGGGGACTGCCACACCCAGATTTTTCTCTTGGAGCTGAGCTCAGATGTTTATGAGATGTTTGGGGGCTGGAATCTGAACTTGGTTCTCATGACTGAGCAACAAGCACTGACCGTCCCCACTCGCCCATGGCAATGCCTTTTCATGGAGCAGTCCTTCAAGCTGGTGCTGAATCTGGGTATCCCAGGACAGGCTCTGGCTTTGCATCAACACTGCCTGTGGCTGGCTGTCAGCCACACTGATGCCTGACCCGGTCCATCTTTGAGAGCAGATGTTGTTGACCTCTTGGGCACAGCTTTTGGCTCCGTCTTCAGCTTGCCTGGTAGACGCGGCACTGAGCTGAAGCCACCGTGGCTGTAAATCCCACTCATTGCTTCTCCAGGCTGGGCCATGTGAGGCTTGAGGCTTGTCCCGGCTCTGCTGTCTGTGTATTGTGGAGTGCTTGTTATACCCTCTCATTTGAATATCTCCAGTCGGTACTTGAAGAAGCCGCTTGGAAGCCTCTTCTGTCAAGTGGTTTGGACAGAGAAAAGGACAATGGGAAGAGTATTCAAGGCTGAAGAGGACATCAGTCAGCACATCTATGCCTGGTTGCGTGGGCAATGCTGTTTCTGATAAGATGCAACGATGACCCACACGGCCCCTGAGACCAGGGATCCCAGGAGTGACCTTGATGTAGGCTCTGGGCTCTCGGGCTTTCCAAGGGCAGAGCTATAGATCAGATAAGGGGTGCTGGCTGAGCAATACGATGTCAGCGGTGGAGCCAGGACTGGCCAAGATGAGGGAGACCCAGCAAAGAAGTCTGGTGAGATCAGCCTATGGGAAGGAACCCCGCGGAGTGGAACATGGAAGTAGGAAGTTTTTTTTTTTTTTTTTTTTTTGCATGGGCGTGTACATGAGAGTGTGGGCATGTGTTTGCCATAGTGCCCATGTGGAGGTCAGAGGGCAATTCCAGGTACCCTTCCTCCTTCCCCTGTGTGTGAGGCAGGGTCTCTTGCTTACCTCAGTCTGCTCCAGGCTAGATGGTCCACAGCCTTCTTCTCTGGCTGCATCTTCATTCTTGCTCCTCCAGGAACGCTGGGATGCAGATGTGCACACGGACACATCTTGCTTTTTGTGTTCGGGGATGGGGGGGGGGGATGCATCTAGGTTCTCATGCTTCACGAAGCAAGCGCGTTACCCGCTGAGCCACGCCCCCAGCCTGAGGAGGTGTTTTAAGTGGACGATGACAAGGGTAAACGATGAGGGTGGTGTGGGCTCTGGATGAACTTGGCCATGTGGCGCTCACCAAGGGTGAGCCCCCAGGCCCCCCCCCCCAGGAGAGGGGATGCTGGAAATAATAGGGGGTTGCTGCAGCAGGCTAGGCTTCAGCTCAGCTGGGTTTGTAGCACTCACCTCAAGTTGGTGGGCAGGGTGGAATGTCCATGTAGGATGCTGAGGGTCTCTTGGGCCGGCTGGTACTCACTGGGACATCCTTAGTCCTTGTGTGCCGTCACTCTCAGCTACATGCCGCACTCAGGGGTCACCCAGCCTTTCTCCATCCCTTCCATATTGGTAAGAGGAGGCCGTGGCATCTCTGCCACGCCAGCAGTTGGCAGACCAGTTCCTGATGGATGTGCAGAGAAGTCTCTTTTCCCTGCTTTGTGGCATCACTGTGTCATGGAGACCTAAGGCAAGACAACCGGACACAGGACCTGCTTTCTTAGGCTGAGTCATAGCCTCTAATCTCACATTCATATATTGACATCAGTGCTGGCTAGTTTTTATGTCAACTTGACACTAGCTGGAATCATCTGAGCAGAGGAAACCTCAACTGAGAAAATGCCTCCGTAAGATCAGACTACAGGCAAGACTGTAGGACAACAGTTCTCAACCTGTGGGTCATAACTCCTTTAGCAAACCTCTATCTCCAAAAGTACTTACATTACAATTCATAACAGTAGCAAAATTACAGTTATGAAGCAGTAATAAAAAAAAATGGTATGGTTGGGGGTCACCACAACATGAGGAACTGTATTAAAGGGTCACAGCACTAGGAAGGCTGAGAGCCACTGCTGAGGGCATTTTCTTAATTAGTGAGTAGTGTGGGAGGGGCCCAGCCTACTGTGAGTGGGACCACCCCTGGGCTGGTGGTCTTGAGTCCTGTAAGAAAGATGGCTGAAGCCAGGCAATGGTCGTGCATGCCTTTAATCCCAGAACTTGGGAGGCAGGGGCAGGCAGATCTCTGTGAATCTGAGGCCAGCCTGGTCTACAGAGTGAATTCCAGGACAGCCAGGATTATGTAGAGAGACCCTATCTCAAAAAACAAACAACA